AAATTCTAATCAAAAACTGATTCTCTTTATATTTGAACTGACAATCCATTGGCAGATTTCCTGGAGGTCTGTGATGGAAAAACTTTCTGATGGAATATTTTTATTCCATCCATTGAGGTTCGAGAAATCAAGGCTCAATCCTCATGTACAATTATAAATTAACATTAAAAACTGATTTTCTTTATATTTTGAGAAGACTTTGATATGAAAATCATCGGGGGATCTGTGATGGAAGGAAGTCTGATGGAATACTTTTATTCCATCCATTGAGGCTCTAAAAATCAAGGATCAATTCTTATGAACAATTATAAATTAAAGTAAAAAACTGATTCTGAATTCCCAGTCCATTGGTAGATCTCCTGGAGGTCTGTATTGGAAAAAAATTCTGATGGAATACTTTTAATCCATCCATTGAGGTTCAAGAAACCAAGGCTCAATTCACAATTACAATTATAAATTAAAATAATAAAAAAAAAAAAACTGAATGTCTTTAAAATACCTTACAGTATACGTTCCTTGAGGGTTAGGGACTGGTGTGAATGTACACTATATATGTAAAGCGCTGTGTAAATTGATGGTGCTATATAAGTACCTGTAATCAATCAAATTTGAACTCCAAATCTATTGGTAGATCTCCTTGAGGTCTGTGATAGAAAAACTTCTGATGGGAAACTTTTGTTATTGAGGCTATAGCACTCAAGGCTCAGTTCTCGTATGCAAATATAATTTAATATTACAAACTGATTCATATTTGAACACCCAATCCATTGGTAAATCTCCTGGAGGTATGGGATGGAAGAAACTGATGGAATACTTTTATTCTATCCATTGGGGATCTAGAAATCAAGCATCAATTTTTACGTACAATTATAAATTAAAATCAAAACTATTTGTTTTTAAATATGAACTCCCAATGCATTGGTAGATCTCCTGGAGGTCTGTAATGGGAAAAAATTCTGATGGAATACTTTTATTCTATTCATTGACGTTCAAGAAGTCAAGGCTCAATTCTCGCTGCCAATTATAAATTAAAATCAAAAACTGAATGTTTATATTTGAACTTCCAGTCCATTGGTAGATCTCCTGGAGGTCTGTAGTGGAAAAAAATTCTTATGGAATAATTTTAATCCATTCATTGAGGTTCAAGAAAGCAAGGCTCAATTCTCATTTACAATGATAAATTAAAGTGTTACTAAACCTACAACAGTACAATCAGTCTGTATATGCAGTAAAGCATGCTTGTTATACTCACTGTGGAACCTAAGGGGTTAACCCTGTCTTCTCTGCCCCTCCTTTTGTTGAAATGACCACCTGATACAGGCTGAATCCATAGTCACATACACATGTTCAGTTTGGTGTGTATTGCTAGAGAGTTTTTTGTTTTCTTTGGAGAGTGCATGTGACCAGCACAGGGCCAATCAGCACTGTCCAGACAGAGGGTCAGGGGTTTCACACTCTCCTAGAGCAGAAAGAAAACTCCTCCTACAAGCTTTAACCAGTGCTCTGCTGAAGTCACAAGACAGCTCTAACTGCTGATGAGAAAAGGTATTTAGCAATTTATATTTACTAAAATAATTGCATTAAAATGTACTGTGTACTGTGGGAGAGCAGATATAGTGAATGCAGGGTCCGGGGAGAGCGGATATAGTGAATGCCGGGTCCAAGGAGACCAGATATAGTGAATGCATGGTCCGGGGAGACTGGATATAGTGAATGCAGGGTCCGTGGAGACCAGATATAGTGTATGCATGGTCCGGCGAGAATGGATATAGTGAATGCCGGGTCCGAGGAGACCAGATATAGTGAATGCAGGGTCCGGGGAGAGCGGATATAGTGAATGCAGGGTCCAAGGAGACCAGATATAGTGAATGCATGGTCCGGGGAGACTGGATATAGTGAATGCAGGGTCCGGGGAGACCAGATATAGTGTATGCAGGGTCCGAGGAGACCGGATATAGTGAATGCAGGGTCCAAGGAGACCAGATATAGTGAATGCATGGTCCGGGGAGACTGGATATAGTGAATGCAGGGTCCGGGGAGACCAGATATAGTGTATGCAGGGTCCGGTGAGAATGGATATAGTGAATGCCGGGTCCGAGGAGACCAGATATAGTGAATGCCGGGTTCTGGGTTTAGTAACACTTTAAAATTAAAAAAAAATGAAATCTCTTTAAAACACCTTAAATATTACAATCCTCGAGGGTTAGGGACTGATGTGAATGTACCATATATATATATATATATATATATATATATATATATATATATATAAAACACTGTATAAATTGATGGTGCTATAAAAGTACCTGTAATCAGCCTAATTTTAACTCCCAATCCATTGGTAAATCTACTGGAGGTATGGAATGGAAAAAACTCTGATGGAATACTTTTATTTCATCCATTGAGGCTCTAGATATCAAGCCTCAATTTTCACATGCAATTATAAATTAAAATCAAAAACTATTTGTCTATAAATATGAACTCCCAATGCATTGGAAGATCTCCTGGAGGTCTGTAATGGACAAAAAAATCTGATGGAATACTAATCCATCCATTTAGGTTCAAGAAATCAAGGTTCAATTCTTGTTTACAATTATAAATTAAAATCAAAAACTGATTCTGTTTACATTTGAACTCCCAATCCACTGGTAGATCTCCTGGAGATTTGTGATAGAAGAAATTTTGATAGGATATTTTTTTTTCCTTCCATTGAGGCAATAGGACTCAAGGTTCAATTCTCGTATCCAATTATAAATTAATAATAAAAACGGATTCTCTTTATATTTAAACTCCCAATCCAATGGTAAATCTCCTGGAGGTAAGGAATGGAAGAAACTCTGATGAAATACCTTTATTCCATCCATTGAGACTCTAATAATGAAGCCTCGTTTTTTTATGTGCAATTACAGATAAAAATCAAAAACTATTTGTCTTTAACTATGAACTCACAATTCATTGGTAGATCTCCTGGAGGTCTGTGATGGAAGAAATTCTGATGGAATACATTTATCCCAAATTAAAGCATTTAATACTTTCTGAAATGGCGGCATATGTAAGAGAAGTTGTTATATGTCAACTATGACAATTTTAAACCTTTTATACACATTATAAAAATGTACCAAGGGCATTTAACCGGCATAAGTAGCTATGGTAGACATTAGTTTGATTTTAAAAAAAGAATCAAATTCAGAAGGTTAAATGTGATTTTTAACAGCATCATATTAATACATCAACTTCCAAATAGGAAATAGAATTTTGTGAGATTTTGAATGAGAAAGAAAATTTGATTGGTCACATCTGAGCCTAGCCACTGTCACTTTGTAGTTTCTAAGACGTTCAAATTAGATTTTTGTATTATGATACAGTCAATACACTTTCAGGCCTACATCTGGACATACTTGCTCATGTATTTAACCGTTGGTTTGTGTGAGGATTGTGAAGAGGGCCTATAATCAAATGCTAATTATGGAGTAATAGAAGGGCTGAGATATTTACCTTTCTTGGAGAAAATGTTGCTCTAGGCTCCCTCAGTTCTGCTTACATGAGAGCCTAGGTATTGCTGCCCCCTGGTAAAGAGAGGGATCAGGGATATGGATGGTAGGTATGTAGTTCAGCCTTTCCATTACCCTGTATTTATTAATGCCAGCCAGGCCATGAACATAGCTTTAAGGTATTATACATGGTCAGTTTATGTGATTGAAGGGACTTAACCACTGTGGACAGTAGTTGTTCACATGGCTCAAGCACATCTCTGGCCATATTTGAGAACTACGTTAAGTCATTTTCATGGATGGTGCTATTCATACAACAGAAAAGATGGGGAATTTAAATCTGAAGTTTAACTCACTTATATTTTGCTTTTGTGGTCCCTCCCCCTTCTCCTCCTCCTCGTCAACATGCAAATGTTTTACTTACAAGCCTTAGTTTAGACTCGTTGATGTCATCCTTTTGTCATTGTGCTTGTCTGCGCAATACAGGCAGATCATGGCTGGAGGGAGGGCCTGGCAGGGTGCTATACATAGTTTCATCTGATAAAACCACAGAACCTACAGTAATAATACAATTTTAGCAGTGGACGTCCCACTTCAGCAAGTATTTTGGCATGGACTTCCTCGATATCTACAGATCTGGTTCAGATAAGAATATGCAATGAGGTTTTCAACGTGTATGTTTGAACCAAGGATACATTTCTTTGGATACCCTAACTTTGCATTTACAGAAGCTTTTTCGACTTGGGGCTTTTCCAGAAACTGTTCCACCTCCTAAAACTCTAATACATACTTATGGACAATTCTTGAAGATCTTCAATGAGTATACACTGCCGCTGGTGTAGAACAACAATGATAAGATACAATGACTGTGTTTGCAAACAGGCCATTGGAATATTGGATTTGTCTTTATATTCATATTATATCTGTCAACATGTTGACAAGGAGAAACAGTTATCATATAAAGACCAATTTCATGGAAACTAGGTCAAATTTGACCTTGCTTGGTTAATTACCACATGGCATACTGTGTTTGTAGTGTTTACCAATCACCATACCACCATGAGCTGCTTAAATGTCTGAGTTTACCATTTGTCCTCTTTTGTGACACCTACACTGTCCAGTTTTACAAACTTCTAGTACCGAAGGATAGTCATCTGTGGTCTACAGGAACCTTACATAATTAATGTGTGAAACACCACTGACCTGGACTACAGAGCTTACACTCAAAAGCTGCTCTGTTATTAATTAACAATTGATTTCACACCATTAAACATTGGCTACAGACATATGTGCTGGTGCCCCCATGGTCATCATCATGCTCCGTACTTCCTGTTTCTGGATTTCATCGTCATTGTGAAAACAAGCACACGCACACACACACACGACTAGACACGTTTGGTTGGAAAAGTCTCTTGATATTTTTTTGACTTGCAATACCAGTCACTAGGTGCGTGGACAGGAAGCAAATTAAGTGGACTTTGACACCAGTTTTGAGGTCAACAATGACTCTTAAGAACTTGGCTTTTTGCTGGTGACACTGTCTTTTCTCTCCAGGCGGGTGTAAGGCTCAAACGCCGAGCTACCCAGTCCATATCCAGTTGGTATTTCATGGAGGCCTCCCAGTAGAGGACCAGGGAAACACAGGGAAGCTGGTAGCCTTGGAGAAGTTGAAGAAGCTAAGGATGGAACTTGGAGGGTGAAGGCTCCGGCTCCAGGAGGGCTACTGCTTATTCCTGGTGATGTGCTTCCCGAGGTACCCAAGCTGGACCCATTGGCTGATGGGCTGCCCATTGGGTTTTGACTAGGAGAGAGCAAATTGGGTGGCCCTGGAACGGACAACAGTCTACCTTGCTCCAATAACCGTAAAATATTGCAAGTCGCAAAGGATTCAGAGGTGGAAGAGGAGCGTTTCTCAGAGTCCCTGCTCTGGTCCTTCTTCTGCTTGGTCCTACGGTTCTGGAACCAGACTTTGACCTAGGGAGAAGAAGTATAAATAATAAACAACATTGTCATACATTTATCCAAATAATGAACAAGACAAAGGACCACTGACATGAAAAAAAAAAAAAACACTCCTAAATACTTTTGCTATTAAATTGTTAACTTCTAAAATATAAAACATCCCTTATTGTCTATAATTCTATGTAATTGTAAAGTAACTATATAAAGGTCTTCACAGCCATAGCAATAAAACAAAACATATTCTGTTAATGCTGTAGTGATATATAGAATAAATTACATGCCAAGGAGTTGTTTATTGTTAATGGCCCTGTTTAAGTCGGTCAGCTTTGCCTCAAGTAATCTCATCTATTTGACAACATAAAAAGCATTAAACCAGATAGAAGGTGTATCAGAGCTGTTCTTCTTCAAACTATGCACCCCAAAGCAACATAAACCCAAAGATGGCCATTAGAATGTCTATCAAAAATATTTGTTTTCTCAATATGTTTTGATATTCCATTGGTTACAAATCGATGATCGTTTTTGACTGTGACAAAAATTCAAAGGAGAAGGATGGATACTTTATCATGTTTCCTACATAGTTAGTCTGTTTGAAAAAATGCACAAGTCCATTTAGTTCAGCCACTAAAAGGGAAAAATAAAATGTAAACAATCCTATATGCACAGTCCTATACCCACAGTTGATCCAGAGGATGGTAAAAAACAACAATAAAGCATGAACCAATTTGCTCCAACAGGGCACAAAATTCCTTCTTAATCCCCCGAGAGGCAATCGGATATTCCCTGGATCAACTTTACCAGCTATATACTGTGTATCCAAGAAATAATCCAGGACTTTTTTAAAGGAATCCACTGAGCTGGCCAGAACCAACTCTTGAGGGAGTCTATTCCACATTTTCACAGCTCTCACTGTGAAGAAACCTTTCTGTGTTTGGAGATTAAATTTCTTTTCCTCCAGATGTAAAGAGTGCCCCCTTGTCCTCTGTGATGACCTCAGAGGGAATAACTCTACACCAAGTTCACTTAATGAATCACTGATGTATTATACATGTTGATTATACCCCTTCCTTAATCTCCTCTTCTCAAGAGAGAATACATTCAGTTCCTCTAATCTTTCCTCATAGCTGATCTCCTCCATGCCTCTTATCAGTTTGGTTGCCCTTCTCTGTACTTTCTCCAGTTCCCCAATGTTCTTTTTGTGAATTGGTGCCCAAAACTGAACTGCATATTCCAGATGAGGTCTTACTAATGATTTGTACCCGGGGGAAATGATATCTCTCTCTGGAGTCTATACCTCTTTTAATACAAGAGAGGATTTTGCTCACTTTAGAAACCGCAGCTTGGCATTGCATGCCATTATTAAGCTTGTGATCTACCAGAACTCCCAGATCCTTCTCCACCATTGACTCCCCCAGTTTTACCCCCCCTAGTATGTATGGTGCATGCATATTCTTAGCCCCCAAGTACAGAACCTTACATTTATCAACATTAACCTCATTTACCACATAGTTGCCCAATTACACAGAGCATTGAGGTCGGCTTGTAAGTTGGAGACATCCTGTAAGGACGTTATTCCACGGCACAGCTTGGTGTCATCTGCAAAGACTGAAATGGGACTTATAATCCCAGACCCTATATTGTTTATAAATATATTAAAAAGTAAGAGTCCCAACACTGAACCTTGGGGTACACCAATGACACCCCTAGAACATTCAGAGTATGAATCATTAATCACTACTCTCCGAATACCATCTTTTAGCCAGGTTTCCATCCATTTACATACAGATTGTTCCAAGTCTGTAGATTTTACCTTACACATTAGCCGTGTGTGGGGAACTGTGTCAGACGCTTTTGCAAAATCCAAGTATACCACGTCCACCGCCACCCCTCTGTCCAAGTATACCAAGTCCACCGCCACCCCTCTGTCCAAGTATACCAAGTCCATCGCCACCCCTCTGTCCAAGTATACCACGTCCACCACCACCCCTCTGTCCAAGTATACCACATCCACCTCCACCCTTCTGTCCAAGTATACCACGTTCACTGCCACCCCTCTGTCCAAGTATACCACGTCCACAGCCACCCCTCTGTCCAAGTATACCACATCCACCTCCACCCTTCTGTCCAAGTATACCACGTTCACTGCCACCCCTCTGTCCAAGTATAGCATGTCCACCGCCACCTCTCTGTCCACGTATATCACGTCCACTGCCACCCCTCTGTCCAAGGTTTTGCTCACCTTCTCATAAAAAGAAATCAGATTTGTTTGACAACTTCTGTCTTTCATGAATCCATGCTGTCTGTTGCTTAAAATATTTTTTTCCATCAAGAACTCATCTATGTGGTCTTTTATTAAACTCTCCAGTATCTTCCCAACTATAGAAGTTAAACTAACAGGTCTAAAATTACTTGGTAAATATTTTGACCCCTTTTTAAATTTTGGCACCACATTGGCCTTGCACCAATCCAGTGGTACTATGACAGTCATTAAAGAGTCCCTAAAAATTAAAAACAATAGCTTTGAAATGACAGAGCTCAATTCTCTAAGGATCCGTGGCTGTATGCCACCCGGTCCAGGTGCTTTATTCACCTTTATTCTGTCTAAATATTTTTGGATCATATCAATTGTGAGCCAATGTGAATCATCTGGAGCTGTGTCAGTACCATGCCCATTATGGACAAGAGCTCCCCCATGCTCCTTTGTTTACACAGAGCTGAAGAAGGTATGTTATAAATTTGCCTTCTCTTTGTCTGCAGTCACCCACTCTAGATGATTCTGTAAAGGGCCTACATGCTCGGACCGGACCTTTTTACTATTAACTTCCCTAGTTGTCTGATTATGTCCATATTTCTGTGCTCAAAGCGGTACATTTTTTTGCATGGAAATATGTTTTTTTTTTATTGTAGGCCTGTAATTCTTAGGAATAACTTGCTGAAATCTGTCCGAACAAGAGTCTAGTAAACATCCCGGGTATAATAAAACTTGAAACACAAAATCATAAATTATAATATAATAAATAATCATAAAAAATAATAATATAATAATAATACATTTAATTCAATAATATAATCAAACCAAAAACACTGAAATTTGAAATATAGCTCCAAGTTCACACATCACTGAGCAAAGTCGCAGAATCGTTTTCAGTGTCTGATGACGAATTTCCCCCACGAATCATTATCACTCAATTCTGCAAGTGGTTCTGATTTACTATCGCTGTTCTCTAGCCGGTCTAAACCCGCTTTTGACCTAAAGGGACGCTTTTTGGACGCCATGGACGTTTCTCAGTTTCCAGGCAGAAAGAACAGTAAAAATGCAGGCAGGGCGCCGGACAAAGCACTCGGGACAAAATGTATGTGAAATGGTTTGAAACAGGAATGTTATACTATGTGATTTTAGTGTATTTAGTGAATGTCACATTTTTACATTTTTGAATTTCCCGCCGGTTCCGTCCCCCGTACGTCCCATACATCCCGATCCTTGCAGGGAACGGAAAACGGAAGACGGATGCGGGCATCGGCCGGGGACACTGCAGGGGGGACGTCACGGGAGCGAAGGACAAGGTAAGTGCAGGAGGGATCCCGGAGCAACGCTGCATGGTGATCCCTAGTCTAGCTCGGGGTTACCGCTTTTAGTACTGAAAGTTAACCCCGAGCTACACTCAGAAATACCGCCAGGGGGGTTAATATATCTGAAGAATTTTGGGGGGTTTGTCCTGCTCTCTTTTGCAATCTGTCATTCGTTTTCAATTTTTGCAGCCTTGATTTCCTTTTTGCATATTCTGTTATATTCTTTGTATGTTTAAACGATGATAGTGTTCCTTCATTTTTATATTTAATAAAAGCTCTTTTTTTATTATCTATAGCTTTTGTAACTTTGGCCATAAGCCACATAGGTTTGATTTTTAGCTTTTTATACTTGTTGCCCATGTGAATATATTTTGCAGTGTGTTCACATACAGTCTTTTTGAAGAACTCCCATTTCTCCCACACGAACCAAGGTTTTTGTGTGTGGAATCAATATTAGCTATGGCACTCCAAGCTTGGATATTTCCCTGTACATCCATCTGCCATAAGGTACGCGCCAGGTGTATCCTAGACATGTGGGGTTTGATTCGTTCTGAATTGACATGCAGACCAAAATTTCATTATTCGGAAAAATAGATGTATTTGAATTTCTAAATACAACAGTAACAAATGTCAACGAATATGAAATAAATATTAACAAAATAACTAAATTAATTTGTTTCATTCGGATGAAGCAACCGAATGAAACGAATGATTTGAATTCGATAATAGCTGCTTGTTAAGAAGCAAGTCTGGTATGGATTTTAAGGGAACCCCATGTCAAAATAAAAACGGCCTGGGTCCCCCCCCCCCCACAATCCATACCAGACCCTTATCCGAACATGCAGCCCAGCAGGTCAGGAAATGTCGAGCTAACACCCCCTTCCTGAGCCATACCAGGCCACATGCCCTCAACATGGAGAGGGTGGTTTGGGGCAGGGGTCATGGTTGCTAAGGACTCGGCAGCCAGCAGGCCATCCTGCTTCCTAACAACCAGTTATCCTTCACAATGAACTAGACTGAATTTGTTATTTTCGATTCAAATGCTTCAATCAGAAATTAAACAAGACAATTTTTTTCATTGTGCACATGTCTGGTGTATCTCCGCTCAGCTGTACCCTTTACCCCTTACTCATGGTCTTCAACAAAATGCTACTCAACACACCAGCATTTTCCACCAGCAAGCAGAGAATTTTACAGGGTAGGATACAATGAAGGAACATTATAGTAGGCATAAAGAGGAGGATCAGGTAACTGGGACCAGATAGAATTATATTTGCACATATCATTTTGTAAATACTGTAAGTATGTTTCTGAAATGTTATACATCTATTTAGTTCAGACTTTCATTGCTGATACCTATTTTAAAGCTGCATCTTGAGAACAGCGAACAGTGATCTAGTAACTGCTAGAGATAAATGGCCATCCATAAGAGATACACATGAGTACATTTAAACACTTTACCCTCCCTGGCGGTATGATTATTTCAGATTTTTGGTGCTCAAAGCGGTACCATTATTTTGCATGGAAATTTGGCGTTTTATATTGTAGGCCTGTAATTCTTAGGAATAACTCAGTGAAATCTGTCCGAACAAGAGTCTAGTAAACATCCCGGGTAGGATAAAACTTGAAACACAAAATCATAAATTATAATTTAATAAATATTCATAAAAAATAATAATATAATAATAATAAATTTAATTCAATAATATAATCAAACCAAAAACACTGAAATTTGAAATATAGCGCCAAGTTCGCACATCACTGAGCAAAGTCGCAGAATCGTTTTCAGTGTCTGATGACGAATTTCCCCCACGAATCATTATCACTCAATTCTGCAAGTGGTTCTGATTTACTATCGCTGTTCTCTAGCCGGTCTAAAACCGATTTTGACCTAAAGGGACGCAATTTGGACGCCATGGACGTTTCTCAGTTTCCAGGCAGAAAGAACAGTCAAAATGCAGGCAGGGCGCCGGACAAAGCACTCGGGACAAAATGTATGTGAAATGCTTTGATACAGGAATGTTATACTATGTGATTTTAGTGATTTTTGTGAATGTCACTTTTTGTCATTTTCAAATTTCCCGCCGTTCCGTCCCCCATGCGTCCCGACGCTCGCAGGGAACGGAACCAGGAAGACAGATGCCGGCATCCGCCGGATTACATTGCCGGGGACACTGCAGGGGGGACATCGCAGGAGCGCAGGACAAGGTAAGTGATCGAGGGATCCCGGAGCAGCGCCGCATGGTAAGCCTGAGTGTAGCTCGAGATTACCGCTTGTGGTACTGAAACTTTACCCCGAGCTACACTCGGGAATACCGCCAGGGAGGTTAACAACACCATCTACACTCACTGGCCACTTTATTAGGTACACCTTGCAAGTTCCGGGTTGGACCCCCTTCTGCCTTCATTCTTCATGGCATAGATCCAACAAAGTGTTAGAAACATTCCTCAGAGATTTTGGTCCATATTGAAATGATAGCATCACACAGTTGCTGCAGATTTGTCAGCTGCACATCCATAAACCATTTATACAAAGTAGGATGGATTTCATGTTGTTTACGCCAAATTCTGACTCTGAATGTTGCAGCTGAAATTGAGACTCATCAGACCAGGCAATGTTTTTCCAATCTTCTGTGGTCCAATTTTGCTGAGCCTGTGCGAATTGTAGCCTCTGTTTCCTGTTCTTAGCTGACACGAGTGGCACCCGGTGTGGTCTTCTGCTTCTGTAGCCCATCTGCTTCAAGGTTTGAAGTGTTGTGTGTTCAGAGATGGTATTCTGCATACCTTGGTTGTAACCACTGATTATTTTAGTTACTGTTGTCTTTCTATCATCTCAAACCAGTCTGCCCATTCTCCTCTGACCTCTGACTTCAACAAGGCATTTTGGTCCACACAACTGCCACTCACTGGATATTTTCTCTTTTTTTGGACCATTCTCTGTAAACCCTAGAGAGGGTTGTGTGTGAAAATCCCAGTAGATCAGCAGTTTTTGAAATACTCAGACCAGCCCGTCTGGCACTAACAACCATGCCATGTTCAAAGTCACCTAAATCCCCTTTCTTCCCCATTCTGATTCTTGGTTTGAACTTCAGCAAGTCGTCTTCACCACGTCTAGATGCCTAAATGCATTGAGTTGCTGCCATGTAATTGACTGATTAGCAATTTGTGTTACCAAGCAATTGAACAGGTGTACCTAATAAAGTGGCCGGAGAGTGAAGTTCAGGTAGAAACTCATGGACTAGAAGAGTGTTAGGGATCCGGGTATGACCAGAAATGTGTGGACTGACACAGGGAAATGCAGGCTTCAGGTATAGTGTAAATAAGACAATTTATTAAGACTAAACAACACAAACGCAGTGCAAGGTAAACATAACACAGTGCAAACAACCCAAACTCCAACAGATAACCATATATACAAATCAATGTAGTCAGGCAGGCCGGGTCGGTAGCAAACGGGCAGGCAAGGTACAAGGAGCAGGCGGAAGAGTAGTCAGGAATAGCCGAGGTCAGGACAGGCAGAGTTCATGCAGAGTCAGGATAAAGCAG